TGGGCACTGGGTCTCTTTCCAATCTTGGCTGTTGTAAATAATGCCGCAATGAACATGGGAGTGAATATATTCTTTCCAATCGGTGTTTCGGATTTGTTTGGATATATTCCCAGAAGTGGAATCGCTGGGTCATATGGCAGTTCCATTTTTAATTGTTTGAGATATGGAGATTTGTTTTATAACCCAGTAGAGAATTCATAGCATCTCAGTGTTCCTCCATGTTATGAGGTAAATATTCCCAGTGATTCTGCTAGAACGTCTTGCAGAAACAGAGAATGTAGGGGTCACTCTTCAGTTAGCAGGCATCTTGTATTGGTCGCAAACATTAATTACCCTGATGTTCTGAATGCAAACAAATGTTCTGGGCCTTAACCAATGAGAACCTTATGATTTCTCCAAATCCCCCACCCAACACAGCGACTTTCCTGTGATCTCTCCCCCTGACTCACCTCCTTCAGCTAGAAGTAAGTTTTCTCGGCAGACACATCCCTACTTCTCAAATATTTTTTATTTCTTCACAGATGAAGGGTTCAGAATATCCTGGGTGTCCCAAACGAATGTATGGCTGCTTTGGTGCAACAGCAGAGCTGAGTAGTTGCAACAGACGTAGGCCTGGAATATGTAATAGACACGCATTCACAGAAGTCTCAGACCAGGTTGCTATCAAAGAGAGATGGGATAGGGATCATGCACCCGCATCCTTTTAGGTAAAGGCTGCTACTAATCTCTGTCATTTCGTGCAGGATACAATACTGCTTTAACACTCTCCTTGGGAAAGAGGGACAAAAAAATGAGAAGAAAGTACTTGTACGTCCCCACTGTGGTAGCCCTCACCCCATAGAAAATTCACTAACTACAAAGATCTCTCCATTCTTGGCACAAATATGGGGAACGTAAAGTGATCGTTGTTGGATCTGTGGATGCAGTGATACCTCTATGAGGAGGACCTGGACAGATTTATATTCATTGCCTGCCCTTGTCCCCATGCACCACTTCAACAACAGGGGAGCCATGATGATGCTTTCAATGCCCAGGGATGATGTCAATCACACACCTGGTCCAACCTGTCTCATAAGTTCTGGATTTTCTATTCCATGTTGTGTGATCAACCCTGGTTTTCAGACTCCAAAGATCCATCCTACTAGAAGATTAGCTCCATCTCCGAGAGCCATGCTAAACTCCATGACTCATCACTGTTAACTCTCCCTTCACCAACATTGGGTTCTCTCTTCCTCAGCTTTCTCAGGATCAGACCTTACACACTCTACCTTCTCCCTGCAGACCCCTGGCATGTTTTTGCCAATCCTCTGACACCTAGACCTTTTCTTCCCCTAGCTGGCCTGGCATGTCCCAGTGTTGGTTATAGACTGATGGATGCTGAGTACTGGCCTAGTGGACAAAGATGACATATCCAGGGATATGTGGTTTCTTGCCAGGCAGAGGCTTCCTGATCCACCCCAAGCAAGGGATCCCCTTCCATCTGGGGCTCGGCTTAGGGTTGCCCATGGTGGGTGGCTCTCCGATCTGGAAGGACAGCACAAGAACTTGACCAGGGCTGCGGGGGTCCACTGGGCAGGCGGGAAGATGGCGGTGGCATGGGTCTCTACGACTTCTGGGTCTCAGTTCTCAAACATCTTAGCTGAACCATCAAGGTCTAATGGAGGTATGCTTCGCCATTCCTCATCTTCATATGTGGTGTATCCACCAGATAAGCCTTTCCTTAATTGTGATCTACGATGCTCCCCAAATAAGCCTACACTTGCCTATCCTGTAAGCAACAGCAAAGCCATATTTTCTTCTCTGAAGAATCTTCAAGAAAAAGACTCAACCCTTAGAACTTGAAAGGATTTAAGAAGAAGAAAGTGTGAAAACCTTGTCTAGAGAAACAAAAAGACTCAACACTTAGAACTTGAATTCAGGTAGAAGAAAGTGTGAAAGCCTTTTCTAGAGAAACAATTGAATATAGGAAAGTATTGGATGAACAGATACAAGAAAGGGAGAATTCAAAAAATGAGGAATCAAAGCACAATCAGAACTGACATGTCAGTTGTTAGCTGCAGAAAGTAAATGCAATCTTTTAGAAAAGCAATTAGAATACATGTGTAATATGATAAAGGATGCAGAAATGGAAAGGACATCTGCCTTAGAGAAACAGGTTCCCCTTGAAAGAGAATGACAACATGATCAAACACATGTTCTCTTGGAGAAACAGGTTTCCCTTGAAAGAGAATGACAACACGATCAAACACATGTTTAGAGCCAACTTGGACAATTGGATCTTCTTGAGCAGGAATATAACAAACTACGCACAATGCAGGCCTTGACTGGTTAAATGAACCCTTGTTCCCCCCCATTAGCTGTATAGGCTCCATGAAAACAGGCTCCAGACCCACCCTCCTTTCCACCCCAAGGCCTGTCTCAGCACAATCAGAACTGACATGTCAGTTGTTAGCTGCAGTTTCTATCCCCTCTGAGGTGGATGGCAGTGGGGACTGAGTCAGGGTGACCTGGTGCAGCAGAAAGTGAGGAGGCATCTCCTCAGATTCAGTGCCTGGACACAGGCTTTCACTCTTGTGTTCTCATTTCAGCACCACCAATCACAGCCCAGGCACAGCTCCATCCAAGGCCAAGTCCATCACTTCAGTTCCTCAAACCCCTGTAATTCCCTAACTTACTCAATCCTCCTTGGCGAAGTAATATAGGGTAATAGGTACTGTGGGCAGCATTGAGAGTCAATCAAGAAGCAGATACACTGGCATGAGGACGGCAAAGGTGAATTCCCAGCCAAATCCTGCCCCATTGCCTGGCCATCTCATCCTGGAAATTAACTCAGCTGAACATGTGTAAGTCAGGCTTCTCCTGAGAACCAGAGTCAATAGGAGATAGAGAGCCAGACTACAGATAGAGAGAGGTAGAGGTAGAGGTAGAGATAGAGAGATAGAGGATTACGGGAAAAATATTTTGAGGAATGAACAATAAATTAGATACTATCTGTGGGGGGGGGGGGTACCTTTGTGGGTGCTGTGAGATCTAGCAGCATACGCTGAGGGACCCAGGACAAGTCTCATTCAACTGTGAGTCTGGAAATAGGCACCAGAACTCTGTTCAGGGTGAGGAAACTGCCGAGGCCCCTCTCTCTGCAGTGGAAGAAGCACCCTGGCGAGTGCTGAGCTGTGCAGATACCCACAGGGGAGAGTTGCAGAAGGCCAGCCTTCCCTGGGAGGGAATCCAGCACACTACTGGAGGAGAAAAGTAGGAATCTTGCCGCAGCCAAAGCAGTGGTGAGAGAAGCCGTCCCCGAGCTTCCCTCCTCCCACTGCACACTGCTGATCTCTCTGGGGCAGGGACCCCTCTGAGGTGGATGGCAGTGGGGACTGAGTACCCCGGCTACCTCAGCGGTGTGGGATGATGCTGGAGAAATCAGTTTCTCTCCAGTGACACCCAGAGTTCTGCAAGGGCACCTCTATCTGGTGACCGTACTTTGCCACAAGCAGGGAGTACCACACCCGAGGATCTTGCTATCAGGTCTGTGAGCACCCCAAAAGCACAAGTGCTAACGCCACACACACACACACACACACATTCTGCAGCTGTGTAGTGTCTGTGTGTGGTGTGGGAGAGCTCAGTAGACAGAAAGTGTGCATCTGAAAACAGGCCGCACTAGGCTATCAGTGGTATTCTGGCAGAAACCCACAAGGCCAGCACACGTGAAATGAGTTATTAAAGTGTTGAGCGGGGGGGAAAAGGGGTCACATATGTAATACCCTTGTAATACTGTAAAAAAAAAGTGTTGAAAGAAACTATTTTCCAACCAGAATACCCAGTCTGTCAATGTGAAGGAGAATAAAGACTTTCCTATAGAAACAAAAGCTGAGGGAGTTCATCACTAGACTTTTCTTTGCAGGAACTACTGAAAGGGGTTTTCAAGCTGAAATTTAAAAAAAAAAAAAAAA